CTACAGGTTTGAGCAGACATGACATGAAGGCCCAGAAACTGGAAACCACGTCTTGGAACTTAGTGATTTGGAGTTTATTTAACAATGATGTTATTTGATAGTGGAAAAATTGGAAACAGTCTGAATGTCCATAATAGAGGATTACTTAAATAAATGAGGTGCCTGTGGATAGAATTCTCTGTTGCCATTAAACATGACATTGAAGGCCAGTTAATGATGTGAAAAGACATTTGATATATAATTAGGTGAAAAGTTACAAAATGTGTGCAATAATAATTCACCAAAATGTGGACAGTGATAATCTCTGAGAGGTAGAATTACTGATGATATTCTACTTTTTGCAAGAATTCATCTACTTTTTTTTAAACAATGAACATAGGTTGCTTTGTGGAAAGAGAAAACGTTATTCTCTACATACTAACAATCTGTAAATACTCTGGAACTCTAAGAACCTAGAGTTGTGCTTTTAATTCAGATAAAAACCAAGAAACCAAAGATCTATTTAAAATCAAACCACAGCAAGACAACTCAGCAGGGCTTCAAACCATTCCCTACATAATAAAGATATTAATAATATTTTTGACTTATAAATTTGTAGACTCTCCATGAAGACAATGAGGGCATATGTAAGCTACGAGAGATCAGAGAGATCATGCAATGAAAAGCTATTATCTCCTGGCTGGACATGGCAGCTCATACCTATAATCCCAGAACTTTGGGAGGCCGAGGCTGGCAGATCGTTTGAGGTCAGAAATTCAAAACCAGCCTGGCCAACACAGTCTCTAATAAAATACAAAAATTAGCCGGGTGTGGTGGCGGGCGCCTATAATCTCCGCTACTCAGGAGGCTGAGGCAGGAGAATTGCTTAAACCCAGGAGGCAGAGGTTGCAGTGAACCAAGATTGTGCCACTGCACTCCAGCCTAGGTGACAGAGTGAGACTCCCTCTAAAACAAAGTAGAAATTAGAAAAAANAAAAAAAAAAAAAAAAAAGAAAAGCTATTATCTCCAGAACTCTTTCTCACTCTGTGCTACACTTGAGGCCAATCTTCTGACAACCCCCATGAAGTAGGGTTGTAACCAGACTTAGCTATCAAAATCGAGGTCTTTTTTTCTGTTTAATTATCAGACAAGAACAGCTTAACAGCATGAAGAATGTGTGCACTTTCTTTAGTTGTTATGGGGGAAGAGCGTTAACCCAGGTCTATAGTCACATGCACTAGAACCAATGCCAACAAGAATCCCAAGAAAAGCTGGATTTGTTCAACCAGTGGATTATTTGAAGAAGAGCCAGTTGGCTAGCCGAATAAACCAGATTGGTTTTTTTAATGTTATAATGGGTTGCTTGACTTTAGCTTCCACCCCCTTCCATTCCCTACTCCCATCCTGCACCCTCCTCCCCACACAAGAGCGGGAGAATTAGGTGGGTATCTAATAAATGCAGTCTGCACAGCAGGGCGGAGATGCCACGCTCACAACCAGATGCTTCTCCACATGACAAGCAACATTTTGATGTTTGGGTTTTTTCACGTTTTCCCCGAACTGAACTGATATTCCGTCTCATTGAATTAAGTCAATCCTGTTCAGATACCTTGCCCTTGAACAATAAGGCAAAATAGAAATATACTGATCCATGATAGCTAGGGTCTACAAGCTCCCTTCCCCATTACCTAGACAAAAGTCATGCAATCTTGACCTCTAAATCTATTTACCACCGAGACCATCAAATGCGCTACATGTGAGACGTGTAACTGGTGAAACAATCCCAGCCCAGCTCTCACTAGCAATGCAGCAGCAAGGTCTACTTAGAAAGAACATAAACAAGGTAAAGGCATGAGGAAGCTGGTGCCTTCCCCACATACAGGACTCCTTCACATTAATCTGGGAGAGGGTATGTTTCAGGAGCCCAGCTTCAAGGGAGTAAGAAAACCCCAGGCTTCATTCCATAATTCTTACTCGCTACTAAAGCCATGAGGCCAGGATGTGTGTTTAAAGCCTTTTTAATTCAAAGACCTGTTATCTTTACTTGACCTTATTTCCTGTCATTGGCAAGAATCAAGCTGCTTCTATTCCCCCTAATAGCCATATAGTATAACCCTTGCTGGGAACAACCGCTGTGTGTACCTTCTTTTGTGGCAGGCCGCAATCTTGGGAAGTAATGTGTCTGTTTTGAAAAGAGTCATTTACAGCCTGCTGTTTGACCTAAGGGATCCAGGAGCCCACCCTTTTCTGGCCTCATACACTGTATTTCCTTCCTGGGTTTTTCGCAGGTTTAATGCAGCACAGGTGGTGGTGTGTTTCCAAACCAGGTGTCTGAGGCTAAAGACATCCACAAAAATATGTGGCTTGTTCTTTTTTTCTTTTTGACTTGGAATTTTAGCACTGTGAACTACTGAGACTTGGTGATGGTGTGACTTTTTTTTTTTTTTTTATTACATTTTGAACTGAGCTTTTCACAGTTTTTCCTCCCTGCAGTTTAACATTCCCTAGAGATGCTATAAAATCCCTATGGTTTACTGACTAACACTTTCCAATGTAGTGTTGAGGCCACACACCCAAGCTGACCACTCACCAGTTGATGAGGGGTAGGGCCAGGAGTGCAACGAGCTGATCAGGCCACAGAAGGGAAATACCTGGGCAGGGGTGCGGCTGCAGATGGGGCAGAACCTGACACTGAGAAGGAAACAGATTCAGAAAGATTAAGTAATTTGCCCAAAGTCACACAGCTTCTAGGGGGTAGAGCCGGGTTCAAACCCACACTCTAACCACTGGTGATATCATACCATTTGGGGGAAAATATGTCTATGCACCCAAAATACTTTAACACAGGGAATCTGGACATGTCAATGATGGAACATTATTGCAGATGGCCACTGACATGACCCTACAAAGGATCCCTCACTTAGCCTAATTTCACAGAGCTCTGATTTTTCCATAAAATCTACTCTCATACCCTATTCCACAATAAGTCTACTACAGAAACAAGTTTCTCATGGCTGACCATAACTTTTTGATAGAAAGTACTGGAAGGGGTTCTATACCCATTTCTCTCACTCATTAGCTTGGGAACCTGGGCAAAGTCACGTAGCTTCTCTGAGGGCAGTAGTTAAGGTGATGACGTGCTCCAGGTTGCCCAGAACAGTTGACTAGTTTACATGTGTTTGTCCCGCTGTGATAGTTAATGGCGCCCCTTTTTACTTTCTAAACTATTCTAGTCTGGATGATAAGTTATGTTGTCACTTTGAGTGTTCATTATTTTTTTTGAGACAGAGTCTCGCCCTGTCGCCCAGGCTGGAGTGCAATGGCACAATCTCAGCTCACTGCAACCTCCGCCTCCCGGGTTCAAGCAATTCTCCTGCCTCAGCCTCCTGAGTAGCTGGGATTACAGGCACACGCCACCATGCCCAGCTAATTTTTTGTATCTTTAGTAGAGACAGGGTTTCACCATGTTGACCAGGCTGGTCTCGAACTAGTGACCTCGTGATCCACCCGCCTTGGCCTCCCAAAGTCCTGGGATTACAGGCATGAGCCACCGCACCAGGCCGAGTGTTCATCCTTTGAGAATATTTCACATTCTTTTGATATTAGCACCTCAATGTTTCTTGAGGAATCCTCCTGCCCCATATGGCTTAGGCAGCTGAAGATGGCCAATTAAGGTTCCAAATATCCCCAGCCATGGTGACTGTTTCAGAGATGAGCACATGGTCTGCACCTGGCCAGTGAGGGTGGGCATACAAGACTTTTATAGGAAGTACCACGGAAGAGGCCCTCTCTTTCCAGTGAGGTTGCTGGGCTGTGGGATGTAAGCCTGGGGCATCGTTGGCCATGACATGAGGAATGTCCACTAGAGAAGAAAGCCATGCAGACCGTGGAGGAATGGAGGAAAGGAAAGGACCAGGAGGATGGTACCACTTGAACTCTTGGCCATAAGCCAGATATACGGAGGAACTTCCTAGTTAAATGTCCCAATAACTTCCCTGCTATGCACAAACAAGTTTGAATTGGGTTCTGCACTTGCAACTGAAGGAGGGCTGACTAAAAAGGGAGATTGGAATAGATTGGAGGTATGACATGCCAGAACAGCCCTGACATGTCATACCGCCATTGATAGATAAATTAACACACACAGACAGAACCAAACACAGAGCTCCCACCCCATGGAGGCATTTCTCAATGCCTCGGGAAACTGAGGCATTACCCACCCAGTTTTTTCATGGTTTGGTTGTTAAAACGTCCAACAGTACCGAATATTGAACACACTTAATAAAGAGATTTTCTAAACAGGCTTTGTGTGAGCAACATGGCTGTTTATTCACCTGGGCGCAGGTGGCCTAAGGCCGAAAAGGGCATTAGCGAAGGGCAGTGAGATAGGAGTTGGTTTTATAGGTTGGCACAAATTTTTTGGGGAGGAGGCAGGGGTGTTAACAGAGTAAGATCAGTTACAGTGGTGGGGGTAGGGGCAAGGAATATACATTACCATAAGTTCAGTTACAATGGTGGGTGGGGTAAGGCGTTAGGGTAGTTAATATGGCAGGGTGAGGTGAGGAGTATTCACATTACTGTAATAACAGTTAAGATGGCAGGGTGGGTTGATGTCCAAGGGGAAGCTCCGCTGGGGTGGCGGGGGGCTGGGGGGTGGTGATTAGCCGAGGCAGGCGGGACTTTAGACTTTCTGGGTCTGGGCTTGCACATGGAGGCCTGACACTGGTGATGCTTAGAAGAACATCAAACATTATCTAATCCAGTGGTTTTGACTGGTCCATGGAGACCTAGGTTCTAGAGAAGTATCTCAGCGGCTGCCCTAGGGGGTTAGAGGTCGTCCTGAAAGTTGGGGTCAGAGAGTGAGAGTAGGCAGGACCTAATGGCTGTCCCCTACTTCACCCATTAGGATTCAGGGCGAGAGTTCATGCAGGGGAGGTAAAGTTTTCCATTGCTTTAAGAAGATTGGAAAAGCAGTCATTTGGTCAATACCTAGCATTTTAAGAAGAGGACCCCAGGAGTCGGCGCCATGACCCCATCAAGGCTTCAAGGGTTCCTTTGCCAAGTCTTGGCCACCACGTGGAGAACGGCAAGATCACCCCGTTTGTGTCATTCTCTGAGGAAAACAAGTTCTTCTCAAGGAGGAAAGTCTGAACTTGTCAAACAGTCCCTTAAGAAGCCAAAGTTACCAGAAGGTCGTTTTGATGCACCAAAGGGTTCCCACTTAGAGAAAGAACCACTGGAAAAATTTCCAGATGATGTTAATCCAGTGACCAAAGAAAAAGGTGGACCCAGAGGCCCAGAACCTACACGATATGGAGATTGGGAACGAAAAGGACACTGTATTCATTTTTAAGTCACATATTCTTTAACCTCAGTATTGTTTTCTGAATACGTACATCTGAATTAACTTAAAAAAAAAAAAAAAAAAGAAGAAGAGGACCCCAAAGCCCAGAGGTAGTAAGGGACACCCCCTCCCTCAAGGTCGTACATAGTTGACTTGAGAGGGAAAAGCTGAAAACTGTCTGGTTCTTTTTGACATCACAATGTCTTGTTAGGTATAATTTTTTTTCATTTTTTATTCATTTACTTTTTTGAGACAAGAGTTTTACTCCTATTGCCTAGGTTGGAGTGCAATGGCGTGATCTCAGCTCACTGCAACCTTTGCCTCCCAGGTTCAAGCGATCTCCTGCCTCAGTCTCCAGAGTAGCTGGGATTACAGGCACCCACTACCATGCCCAGCTAATTTTTTTAATTTTTAGTAGAGACGGGGCTTTACCATGTTGGCCAGGCTGGTCTCAAACTCCTGATCTCAGGTGATCCACCCACCTCGGCCTCCCAAAGTGCTGGGATTACAGGTGTGAGCCACTGCACCCGGTGAATTTTTTCTTAGAAAAGCTTTTACTTCATGGTATTATGAAGACAAATAGAGTTATATTTATATCATAAGCAGTACAAACTTATATACTATATAAATATAGTACAAATAAAATTTTATATCTGTTTACTTGCATGGTGTCTGTGTCCCTCCTTAGACTCTAAGCCTCATGTGGGAGGGAAGTAGTGGATGAGAACTCATCACTATAAACACAGTGGGAGCACAACAAAAATGCATTTAAAAAAGTAAGAAAATAACCAATCAGAGGAGCATGCTAAGTAGCATCTGGGGATGAAGTCATCAAAATCCAGACTGCAGAAAATGCTCAGGACCAACATGCTTCTTCAACAAATCTCAAGGGGAAAAACAATAGAGAATAAATCTGCAGATTAAGAGAGATCTGAGGAATAGATGAACCATGTGCGATGTGGGATCTCTGTCAAACCAATCGTTAAACTTAGAGATAATCAGGGAAGTTTCAAAGACTATATGGATGTTGGATAATATTGTCATTGTTGTTTTAAGGGTAACAGCGATATCGTGGTCGTGTTTAGAATGAAAGAGTCCTCATCTTTTAGAAATACACACTGAAATATTCTGGGCTGATGGCTGAAATATGATTTTGCAAATTTTGTGCAATTAACCTGGGGGTGAAAGGAGAGATGGGAGGTAGAGTTGAAAGATTGGCCTAAAGGTGATCATTGTTGAAGTTGGGGAGAGCCTCCATGGAAATTCATTGTACTGCTTTGCTTTTTTTGTGTATGTTTGCAATTTTCTACAATAAAAATTTAGAAGGACTAAAGGCAGGGACGGAAAGGAGAGAAAGGAAAAGAAGGAAGACCCTTTCTTTGGAGTCAAACTTGAATTCACATCTTAACTATTCCATTTACTAACTGTAAGGCTCAAGGTTACCACTTACCGTCAGTTTCCTTCACTGCAATGGTACTAAAAATACTACTGCTTCTCTCTTAGAGAGGTTGTGAGAATCAAATGAAGTCATAAATGCAAAATCTGTCTGGTAAGGTGTATGTAATAAAAGGTAACTGTTAGGTTAAGATCAAATGTTAAACATACTGCCCTCTTATCTAAGTAAAACTGGTGTCAGAAAAATTACACTTTAGGCCAGACGTGGTAGCTCACACCTGTAACCCAAGCACTCTGGGAGGCCCAGACAGGTGAATTACGTGAGCTCAGGAGTTCAGGACCAGCCTGAGCAACATGGCGAAACCCCACCTCTACAAAAACTACAAATATTAGCGAGGCATGGTGGTGTATGCTTGTGGTCCCAGCTGCTTGGGAGGGTGAAGCATGAAAATCACTTGCACTCAGGAGGTGGAGGTTGCAGTGAGCTGAGATAGCATCGCACTCCAGCCTGGGCAACAAAGTCAGACCCTGTCTCAAAAAAAACAAAATTACACTTTAATAAAAATAATAATTAAAATTGTAAAATCCTGTTTTACCTGTAATACTGTCCTCCTCTCCTCCCTATTCATTGATTTTTAAAATCCTCATACTCAAAGTGAAACCTCTTTAAACAAAAATTTAAAATTGTAGTAAACAGTAACATAATGACAAAAACTAATTAAAATGATTTTTAAAATGAAACTAAATAAAAATAAGTCTATTTCAGCTTATATTTAACCAAATTTTGAAAATAATGGTAAATGTGCTCTAATTCTTAGAACAAACAATAAATGAATTAGTTTCAGGGGTTTTGGTGCAATGTTTTGCCAATATTACATGACAGTACAATAGCAATACCTTCACTTCAGGTTTTATTCTGCAGTATGATTACAAAAATAGTCATTTTCACAAAAATATTACAAGACTTCATCTATTTCCTGAAGCCTTTCCTATTCAAGTCATTCTCTTTTGAAGCATCATGCCACCTTTCTTTTCTTCAGTTGGCAACAGACTGATTTAGTGATGTTCACATTTTCAACAGCTTTTTCAGAAATCATAGGACTTTTCCAACATCACCCTTAGAATGTTTCATGAAATCCTGTATTCTTGCATGATTTTTTTTGATGTGTTGTTAGCTTGGATAGATGTTGATGTCAAGTGGGAGGAAACAGAGGTATTCAAAGGTGTACTAATTTTATAATGTGTTAGTTATTTGGGAATTCCGCATCCGTAAGCAACCTACCAATTGTTGGGACTAGCATACAAGGCACAACCAGGCTGTATTATGCCAGCGCTGCCCCCTGGTGACAGATATGAAGAACTGGTCGTCCCTTCACTTCCCACCCAGGCTGTGCTCTCTTTTTTCCTGCCACCACTCCCCTTCCATTACCAGCAACAGGCTTTGTTTTTCATATGAAACCTCTATTTTCTTTTGCTCACAAATCTCTGAAAACTCTTCCTCTTGCCTGCGTCCAATTTCACTCTCCATCTAGGTGCCAAAAACAACCTCAACAGAAGCTGATGAACATAAGGGTAACTCCAGGGGCTCACCTGTCTGTGTCACAGAACGAAAAAGCCGTATGTTCAAAGTGAAGTCAGAATGAAAAGCATTGCTATCAACCTGGGGAGTCCTGGAAGGTGCCCAGAAGTTCTCTTCAAAACTCTGTGCCTCTTTCTTAACCTTTAAGAAAAACTTTCTCAAATACCAGGATTCATAATCAGTTATAAACGCTTTCTTTGTTAATCTTTGTATTGCTGCCCTGAGAGGGAAAAAAGCTTTTTCTAGGGCATAGGGGTGGCCCACCTAAGAGACTGTGCTGGAACTGTTGGGGCCCTCTTCTATGAAGGCAGCCATCTTTCCCCTGCTCCAAATTGCTTCTTGGCATCCCACTCTGCTGTGTTCTCCAGACCGCAGAGGACCCAGGGCTTACTGGGCTACCACTCAGAACCATGTTGGTTTCTCCCATCATTTGTCCTTCTCTCCTCCCTATTCACTGATTTTTCCACTCCCCAGAGTAGCTTCATCTGGATTCAAGTTCTGGCAATACTACCTAGAAGGCATGTGTGATGAGGGCATCCCACCCTTCTAGGCCTGATATAGTTTGAATGTGTGTCACCGCCAAAACTCATGTTGTAGTGTAATCCCCAATGTTGGAAGTGGGGCCTGGTGGGAGGTGTTTGGATCATAGGGGCGGATCCCTCATGAATGGCTTGGGCCATCCCCTTGGTGATAGTGAGCTTTCACACTGAGTTCACATGAGATCTGGTCCTTAAAAGTGTAAGGCACCTCCCCACACTCTCTCTCTCGTTCCTGCTCTTGCCATATGACATGTCCATTCTGCCTTCACCTTCAGCCATGACTGAAAGCTCTCTGAGGCTCCACCAGAAGCCGAGCAAATCTCAGCACCATGCTTCCTGTTAAGCCTGCAGAACCGTGAGTCAATTAAACCTCTTTTCTTTATGAATTACACAGTCTCAGGTATTTCTTTATAGCAATGTAAGAACGGCCTAATACAAGCCTTCAGTGTTCCCATCTTTAAAATGAGAATAGTAACAGTACCAACTTCACAAGGTCACTGTGAGGGTAAATACATTAAGAAAGAAGAGGGGTGTGTGTTTGGGGGGGAGGGCAGTGGTACTTGTGGTACTTGGCATCATGGCTGGCAGAGTTAGCACTCAATAAATGTCAGCCCTTGCTTTTTTAGTTCCTTGTATCTTACACCTATGCTATTATGAACTTGCCAACAAACCCGGGGGAAGACTCCTTCCTTGGCTCTTCATGTGCCAGACTCATTTTTACTGTTGCCAGAACATGTGTTAAGGCAGCAGCAGAGAAGGCATGGACAGCCTTCGTGAGGTAAGGGACCTACAGGATTTTTCCTAAAGGGATTCACTTCTCTTCTTTCCTATTTTCCAAGACGACAACCCCTTAGGTTCAGGAACTAGCAGAAGCAGTTTCACCTTGCAACACAATTTTATTTGTTACCTAAAGGTACACTTTTAAATTTCTTCCTTTGTTTATAAATAGGACATGATTATTGAAGAAATTTTGGAAAACCACAGAAGGTTCAAAGATTTAAAAAAAACCACCTGACTTCCTCCTTTCAGAGGTAACCACTGATAACATTTCACCATCTTTTTTGCATACTTCTATCTCTATGTTTGTTAAAAACAGACTCCCAGCCAGGCGTGGTGGCTCATGCCTGTAGTCCCAGCACTTTGGGAGGCTGAGGCAGGTGGATTACTTGAGGTCAGGAGTTCAAGACCAGCCTGACCAACATGGTGAAACCCTGTCTCTACTAAAAATACAAAATTAGCTGGGCGTGGTAGCAGACACCTGTAGTCCCAGCTACTTGGGAGGCTAAGGCAGGAGAATCACTTGAACCTGGGAAGTGGAGGTTGTAGTGAGCTGAGATTGTGCTACTGCACTCCAGCCTAGTGACAGAACAAGACTCTATCTCAAAAAAAAAAGAAAAAATAGATTCCTACCATTGTTTTGTTTTTGTTATACTTTCATGCTTTGCTTTGTCACTTAACTTATATATGAGCATTTCCCAGCATTCAATAGTCAACAAAAATGACTGCACTATAATTCATCATGTAAATGAACCATAAGTATTTATACATTCTATCAGGTCTAAACA